AATGCCAGAAAAACAAATAACCCAATCAAAAAGTGGGAAAAAGACCTAGACAGACATTTCTCCAAAGAAGACATACGGATGGCTAACAAACACATGAAAAGATGCTCAACATTACTCATTATTAGAGAAATGTAAATCAAAACCACAATGAGATATTACTTCACACCAGTCAGAATGGCCCTTATCAAAAAGTCTACACAAAATAAATGCTGGAGCGGGTGTGGAGAAAAGGGAATGCTCTTGCATTGTTGTAAACTGATGGAGCCATTAAGGACGACGGCATGGAGCTCCCTTAAAAAATCAGGAATAAAACCACCATATGACCCAGCAATTCCACTCCTAGACACATACCTTAAGGAAACCAAAACTAAAAAGACACATGTATCCCACTGTTCATTGCAGCACTCTTTACAATAGCTAGAACATGGAAGTAACCTAGATATCCATCAACAGATGAATGGATAAAGAAGTTGTGGTATATAAACACAATAGAATATTACTCAGCCGTACAAAGGTACGCAATGGAATCAGTCCTAATGAGGTGGGTGAACCTAGAACCTATTATACATAGTGAAGTAAGTCAGAAAGATAAATACCATATTCTAACACATATATTGCATGGGAACCTAGAATGTTAGGTCCATGAATCAAGGCAAATTGGAAGTGGTCAAACAGGAGATGGCAAGAGTGAACATCGACATTCTAGGAATCTGCAAACTAAAATGGACTGGAATGGGTGAATTTAACTCAGATGACCATTATATCTACTACTGTGGGCAGGAATCCCTTTGAAGAAATGGAGTAGCCATCATGGTCAACAAAACAGTCCAAAATGCAGTACTTAGATGCAGTCTCAAAAACGACAGAGTGATCTCTGTTCGTTTCCAAGGCAAACCATTCAATATCACAGTAATCCAAGTCTATGCCCCAACCAGTAACGCTGAAGAAGCTAAGTTGAAAGGGTCTATGAAGACCTACAAGAACTAACACCCAAAAAAAGATGTCCTTTTCATTATAGGGGACTGGAATGCAAAAGTAGGAAGTCAGAAACACCTGGAGTAACAGGTAAATTTGGCCTTGGAGTACAGAATGAAGCAGGGCAAAGGTTAATAGAGTTCTGCCAAGAGAATGCACTGATCATAGCAAACACCCTCTTCCAACAACACAAGAGAAGACTCTACACATGGACATCAACAGATGGTCAACACCGAAATCAGATTGATTATATTCTTCACATCCAAAAATGAAGAAGCTCTATACAGTCTGCTAAAATAAGACCAGGAGCTGACTGTGGCTCAGATCATGAACTCCTTATTGCCAAATTCAGACTTAAATTGAAGAAAGTAGGGAAAACCACTAGACCATTCAGGTATGACCTAAATCAAATCCCTTATGATTATACAGTGGAAGTGAGAAATAGATTTAAGGGACTATATCTGATAGAATGCCTGATGAACTATGAACGGAGGTTTGTAACACTGTACAGGAGACAGGGAGCAAGACCATCCCCAAGAAAAAGAAATGCAAAAAAGCAGAATGGCTGTCTGAGAAGGCCTTACAAATAGCTGTGAAAAGCAAAGGAGAAAAGGAAAGATATACCCATTTGAATGCAGAGTTCCAAAGAATAGCAAGGAGAGATAAGAAAGCTTTCCTCAGCGATCAATGCAAAGAAATAGAGGAAAACAACAGAATGGGAAAGACTAGAGATCTCTTCAAGAAAATCAGAGATACCAAGGGAACATTTCATGCAAAGATGGGTTCAATAAAGGACAGAAATAGTATGGACCTAACAGAAGCAGAAGATATTAAGAAGAGGTGGCAAGAATACACAGAAGAACTGTACAGAAAAGATCTTCATGACCCAGATAATCATGATGTGATCACTTACCTAGAGCCAGACATCCTGGAATGTGAAGTCAAGTGAGCCTTAGGAAGCATCACTACAAACAAAGCTAGTGGAGGTGATGGAATTCCAGCTGAGCTACTTCAAATCCTCAAAGATGATGCTGCGAAAGTGTTGCACTCAGTATGCCAGCACATTTGGAAGATTCAGCAGGGGCCACAGGACTGGAAAAGGTCCCTTTTCATTCCAATCCCAAAGAAAGACAATGCCAAAGAATGCTCAAACTACTGCATAAAGGCACTCATCTAACACTAGTAAAGTAATGCTCAAAATTCGCCATGCCAGGCTTCAGTAATATGTGAACTGTGAAATTCCAGATGTTCAAGCTGGTTTTAGAAAAGGCAGAAGAACCAGAGATCAAATTGCCAACATCCGCTGGATCATCAAAAAAGCAAGAGAGTTCCAGAAAAACATCTACTTCTGCTTTATTGACTATGCCAAAGCCTTTGACTGTGTGGATCACAATAAACTGTGGAAAATTCTGAAAGAGATTGGGAATACCAGACCACCTGACCTGCCTCTTGAGAAATCTGTATGCAGGTCTGGAAGCAACAGTTAGAACTGGACGTGGAACAACAGACTGGTTCCAAATAGGAAAAGGAGTACATCAAGGCTGTATATTGTTAACCTGCTTAGTTAACTTATATGCAGAGTACATCATGAGAAACGCTGGGCTGGATGAAGCACAAACTGGAATCAAGATTGCTGGGAGAAACATCAATAACCTCAGATATGCAGATGACACCACCCTTATGGCAGAAAGTGAAGAAGAACTAAAGAGCCTCTTGATGAAAGTGAAGGAGGAGAGTGAAAAGGCTGGCTTAAAGCTCAACATTCAGAAAACTAAGATCAGATCATGGCATCCGGTCCCATCACTTCATGGAAAATAGATGGGGAAACAGTGTCAGATTTTATTTTTTTGGGCTCCAAAATCACTGCAGATGGTGACTACAGCCATGAAATTAAAAGACGCTTACTCCTTGGAAGGAAAGTTATAGCCAACCTAGACAGCATATTAAAAAGCAGAGACATTACTTTGTCAACAAAGGTCCGTCGAGTCAAGGCTATAGTTTTTCCAGTGGTCATGTACGGATGTAAGAGTTGGACTATAAAGCAAGCTGAGCACCGAAGAATTGATGCTTTTGAACTGTGGTGTTGGAGAAGACTCCTGAGAGTCCCATGAACTGCAAGGAGATCCAACTAGTCCATCCTAAAGGAGATCAGTCCTGGGTGTTCATTGGAAGGACTGATGCTGAAGCTGAAACTCCAATACTTTGGCCTCCTGATGTGAAGAGCTGACTCATTTGAAAAGACCCTGATGCTGGGAAAGATTGAGGGCAGGAGGACAAAGGGACGACAGAGGATGAGATGGTTGGATGGCATCACTGACTCAGTGGACATGAGTTTGGGTGGGCTCTGGGAGTTGGTGATGGACAGGGATGTCTGGCGTGCTGCAGTTCATGGGGTCGCAAAAAGTCGGACACAACCAAATGACTGAACTGATCTGAACTGAGCACATATATACAGAATCTAGAAAAATGGTATTGAATAATTTATCTATAGGGCAACAACAGAGAAACAGACACTGAGAACAGACTTATGGACTTGGGGAGAGGAGAGGAGAGGGTGAGACATATGGAAAGAGTACCATGGAAGCTTACATCACCATATGTAAAATAGACAGCCAACAGGAATTTGCTGTGTGGCTCAGGAAACTCAAACAGGGGCTCTGTATCAACCTAGAGGGGTGGGGTGGGGAGGGAGATGGGAGGGAGGGTCAAAAGGGAGGGGACATATGTATACCTGTGGCTGATTCATGTTGAGGTTTGACAGAAAATAGCAATATTCTATAAAGCAATTATCCTTCAATAAAAAATTAATTAATTAAATATATATATATATATATATATATATATATATATATATATATATAAAGAACAAATTGTAGGAAGAAAAGAAAAGTCTAAAAAGAAAGTAAACAGAAATGTAGATATTTAGGACAAGTTAAAATAACAAGGACACTCAAAACAGGTCTAAATATACAAAGGAAACAATTAGATTCGAGGGAAACTAAAATAACTTTTAAGAGAGGCAATATAGGGGGCAGGAATGCAGAATCTTCAAAATTCTTAGAGAATTACTTGAGTCTTTAAACTATTTCATGTGTAACTGAAACTATTTCTTGTGTAAGTTCATGTGTACTCTTGAGTCTTTAAACTCTTTCGCTTGTAACTCCTACTAAAACAAATACTTAAAGAGTATGAAGGGAAAGAAGAGAACCCATAATTCATAAGAGCTGAACTTCCCTCTCAGCTTGGGAAGTCTGGCTCAGTGAACCTGAGGCACTATTTACATCCTGTGAAGTTAATGGGAAGCAGGGCCTCTTCCACAGAAGACATCGGAGGGAGCAACTAAAGAAAGCTTGTCCCATTTAGAGAAAAAGAATCAACCACTCCATTAAAAGGTGTGAACTTCTTCATTGTCATTTGCCTCTGATGCAAGTCCAGAGTTGATACAGGTCCCATTAGGAAAAAGTTCAACTTCCTACTGCTTTTCCTCACATAGTTGTAACTAAAGTGAGTCCTCTGCCAAGCACAGGTGTGGCAGGGCTGATGCCAGACTAACGGACCTGTCAGAGTTATTAAAATGACTTCCTCAGCCAATTTCACATCTTCTTTTTCCAAACCTATATAAGAAATGAGTATTTTTTGTCCAGATACAAAGACTCCAGCACACAACTGTGAATAATTGATGGATTGGTAAAATCTGCAATGTTTATGCATCAAACAGACAATAGGATTTTGGCAAAGAGCAATGCTTGTGCTACCACAGTATTTCCATGTTTCACTATTATCAAACACATATTACAGACATAATTGCTTTGGCTATTTCCGAGGTAATACACAAAATAGTTAACTATGTTGAGTTCTTTCTTCCTGTTTACATAATCTGAGGCAGAGCCAGAGATGTCTAACATTCAAGCATCTGTTCCTACTCCTTGTATACAGGTCCTGAGGTCGAGTTTATTTTAGTGGTAGGGAGCAAAGCAAAAACACAGATGGAAGAGAACACGGCAGTTCCGGAAAAGGCCACATACCTTCAGCATGTAGTAGAAGGGGAACCAGGACAGGAAGAGGTCGGAGAAGAATTCGACAAGGCTGAAGACACCATATACCACCCAGTAGGTCAGCCACTGGGTATCATCTTCTTTGTTGGGGCTTTCTATGGCTTTAATTCTGAAAGGCAATGCAAAAGCAAGTGTCTTATGTAGTAAGATCTCAGTGAGACAATTTCGATCATTATACTTGCACGCTGCCCTCCAATACCAACTGAAAAACTCAGGCAATATATGTACCATGACAGTAGATGCATAAGTGTAACAAGAAAGCAGACAGCAAAGTAGAAATACCAAGACAAGCTATTATAACTACCTGTTACCAGTCTTCTGGTCACCAGAGATGCCAGCACCAGTTGACCCATGGGTCTCCACCTTGCCTGAGCCTCCACCACAGCTCCAGGAAGTAGCACTAATGACTGGAAACTAGAGTAATCCCCATTTTCAAGTGGGGTCCTGCCACTAGGGATATATCAAGAACTCACTCGTGTACTTCAGTTCTCATGCACTTTAACTGAAGTACATCATGAGTGAGCAGGCATTTCCATGAACAATATCTTGGGAAACATAGTTCCAGAACGCTTTCCAGAGTTCATAACATACTTAGTAACAAACAAGCGAAAACTAACACGGTGTCCAGTTGGTTCTGACTGTCGTCACGTGATGCTCAGGCAGTGAACTTTCCTCCCCATATCAGTTAACACTAGGACTTTCTCAGTATCAACTACTGCTTAAACAAAATTCATTCTGTAAATGAAGAGAACTAAATGTAAAATAACCTTCTTTTACTTCTGAATCACAGGAATTTCCTTCTAGTCCTAAAAATCTCTTCATTCTAAGACCCAATTCCATAATTTTTTATCCTGTCCTGACATGTCTGGATACTTATGATAACTGAACTAATCTGCATCAGTAAACTAGAAGAAATCTGAATCTTGTTTAGCTTATGCAATGAGTTAACTACTGAAAATACACTGGCTACTTGGTAACAGGGGTTCGCCAAAAGAAACAGTCTGATGAATCATGCTGAATCATCCCCTAAGAAAGCCTCTGAATTAATCAGAAGCAGCCATGGGTGTATGTGTGCCTGCCTACATAAGTGTTTTAAGAAAATGACCAAGTGGGGAAAAATTACAGCTGACTGAAATGACTGCTAATGACATGAGGAAAAGGCAAGGAGAGAGTGATGAAGTGAATGCTGTTTTGAACATCAAGAGTAAATACAGAATCATAAAATAAATTGAAGAGAGCTAATTATAAAATAATGGCTTGTCACATGTAGACTGTGTCTGTGTTTTAGCGTTCCTCGGGTAGAAACTAGATGATACAACCGGAAGTCAAAGGAGAAAGTAGGCAAGCATATGAACCAAAGAGCTAACAAATGTACATCCATTACATGGAAGGTTTTCTTATTCCTGCTATGCTTTATTTGGTATAGAATAAAGTTTATCTGGGGAAGATCCCCTGGAGGAAGGCATGGCAACCCACTCCAGTATTCTTGCCTGGAGGATCCCATAGACAGAGGACCCTGACAGGCTAGTCCATAGGGTTGCGCAGAGTCAGACAGGACCGAAGTGATGTAGCACAAGCACGCATGGCTTATCTACCCACATCTAAGTGGACTTTTAATAATCACTAAGTACGATAAAAGCCTGTTTCTTATACATCTCACCCTGGACAAAGGGGCAACAAACATTTGTGAAACCACTGATATTTTTAGTTCCATTCTACGTCATTATTACTGTTTTTACTGAAGCAGAGTTGATTTACAATGTTGTGTTCCTTTCTGGTGTACAGCAAAGTGACTCAGTTATATATAATGTGTGTGTGTGTGTGTGTGTGTATTTTTCTATACATTGATGGATATGATAGATATTATATTGAGAGACTGACAGTCGTGTCCAACTCTTTGCAACCCCATGGACTATATAGTCCATGGAATTCTCCAGGCCAGAATACTGGAGTGGGCAGCCTTTCCCTTCTCCAGGGGATCTTCCCAACCCAGGGATCAAACCCAGGTCTCCCTCATTGCAGGCAGATTCTTTACCAGCTGAGTCACCAGGGGAGCCCAAGAATACTGGAGTGGGTAGCCTATCCCTCCTCCAGGAGATCTTCCCGACCCAGGAATCGAATCTGGGTCTTCTGCATTGCAGGTGGATTCTTTACCAACTGAGTTACGAGGGAAGCCCCATTATACAGATAGTTTATTGCAAGATATTGAATACAGTCCCCTGTGTGATACAGTAGGACCTTGCTGTTTATCCATAACAGTTTGTATGTGCTAATCCCAAATTCCTAATTCAATCTAATTACCCCTACCCCTACCTCCCACCCTTGGCAACCACAAGTCTGTTCTCTGTGAGTCTGTTTCTAAGTTCATTTGTGTTATATTTTAAATTCCACAAAGAGTGTTATCGTATGGTATTTATCTTTCTCTGTCTGACTTCACTTAGTATGATCATCTCTAAGTTCATCTATGTTGCTGCAAAAGGCATCATTTCATTCTTTTATTTTATGGCTGAGCTATATTATATTGCATATATGGATCATATCTTCTTTATCCATTCACCTGTTGATGGACATTTAGGTTGCCTCCATGTCTTGGCTACTGTAAATAATGCTGCTATAAATACTGGACACGTATATCTTTTCCAGTTAGAGTTTTATCTAGACAAATGCCTAAAAGTGGGATTACTGGATCACATGGCAACTCTATTTTTAGTTTTTTAAGGAATTTCCATACTGTTTCAGACAGTGGCTACACCGATTTCCATTCCCACCAACACTGTAGGACTTTTTCTTTTTATCAGATTTGTATGTTGATTTACTTATTTACTTAGGCTGTGGTGGGTCTTCCTTGCTTTACCCGGGCTTTCTCTAGTTGCAGCTGGCAGGGTCTACTCTTCACTGTGGTGCACAGGCTTCTCATTGCAGCGGTTTCTCTTGTTGCAGAGCAGGCTCCAGGCTTCAGTAGTTGCAGCTCATGGGCTCTAGAGCACAGGCCCAGCAGTTGTGGCACATGGGCTTAGGTGCTCTGTGGCATGTGGGATCTTCCCGGACCAGGAATCAAACCAGTGTCCCTTGCATTGCAAGCAGATTCTTAACTATCGGACTACCAGGCAAGCCCTGTAGACTTTTTAATGATGGCCATTCTGACCAGAGTGAGCTGGTACCTCATTGTAGTTTTGATTTGCATTTCTCTAATATTAGCATGTTGAGCATCTTTTCATGTGCCTATTGGCCATCTGTATGTCTTCTTTGGAGAAATGTCTGTTTAGGTCTTCTGCCGATTTTTTTTTTTCCTGCCGATTTTTTGATTGGGTTACTTGGTTTTTTTGTTACTGAGTTTTATGGGCTGTGTGTATATTTTGGAAATTAATTCCTTATCAGTCATATTGTTTGCAAATATTTTCTCCTATTCTGTAGGCTATCTTTTCATTTTGTTGATGTTTTCCTTTGCTGTGCAAAAGCTTATAAGTTTGATTAGATCCCACTTGTTTATTTTTGCTTTTGCTTCTATTGCCTTGGAAAAACTGTAATTATTTTTAAAACATTAGTCCGCAGATTCAGAAACCAAAAAATAAACAATGCCCTATGTGTCTCTTCATCTGGCTATTGATTTGTTTCCTTTAATCCTTTTATAATAGATTGGTCATCTAGTGAGTTCTGTGAGTCATTCTAATTAAACCTAAAGAGGGGACTCGGGAACCACTGGTTGACAGCCAGTTGGTCAGAAGCACAGACTAAGAACCGGGGCTTGTTACAGGTGCTTCAAGTGTGAGGAGGTCTTGTTGGACTGAGCCTTTTAGCTTTGTAATTTGATTCTGTCTCTGGGTATACAGTGTCAGAATCGAGTTGAACTCTTGGACTCTCGGGCTTCCCAGGTACAGTGTTAAAGAACCCACCTGCCAATACAGGAGATGCAAGAGATCCAAGTTGGATCCCTGGGTGAGGAAGATTCCCTGGAGTAGGACATGGCAACCCATTCCAGTACTCTTACCTGGAAAATTTCACGGACAGCGCAGCTTGGCAGGCTACAGTCCATGGGGTCACGAAGAGTCGGACACGACTCAGGACACACACACTTGGATTCTCTGCATTATCTGAGAATTGCTTGTTGATATGGAGAAGCCTTTGGAACTGGGCCCTTTGCATCTTTGACCACTCTGCTGCCTTTTATTTACATTTGCTAAACAGTATTTTAACTCATATCAGAATGAAGATATATCAACCTTTCAGGCAACATACAGGATTCAAGAAATCCTAAGATGCAACTCTATCCTTAGGCCATTTGTAGTTTTTGGTCTTTAGCCAAAGAGGCAAAGATAAAGAATGGGAAGGATAGGAACTTAATAATTATTTAATTTAACCTTCAGAACAGCCTATGTAACAGGTAATGTTATTCTCATTTTTGAGAGAAAGAAACTGAGGTTTAGGGAAGGAAAATCACATCGGCGGGGGCCCCAGAGATGTGCTCCTGCAAAGCCTGTATCTGCTTCTCTATCCCGAGCTGTCTTCCTAGTTGGGAGAACTACTCACTACCCGCTTGCACAGCACTTAGCAAAGTGTTTGGTACTAAGTGGGCAGTTAGTAAATGTTTGTTTCGTTCATACAGATACAGAAAAATTCATAATCTGACTTTTGGAAGGGACCAGAGTCCTCTATTGGAGAAAGTCAAGGCTTAGAGAGATCAACTTGGGCACAGAGCAGACTAACAGGGGGAAAGGTCAGAGTCTCAACATCTAGATTCCTGAAAGGCCATTCACCCTGCTTCCTTGAGGTGGAGGACCATTAGAAGTGAGCGGCATGCTGTTCCAAGTTGCTGCCCTAGTCCACCAGTTCTCAGACTTGGATGATGATCCACATTCACCTCAGGAACTGTTAAAAAATATATACACTATACTTTTATAGTGTATAAATATATAAAATACAGTGTATAAATATATAAAAATATATATACACCGGGTCCTTCAGACCTGGTGGCTCAAGCTCTCCCGCATACACAGGTGTGTGCTTTTAGAAACTTATGCAGGTGATTCTAACACACAGCTAAGTTTCAGAACCACCGGCTCCAAGATCCATTTTCAGTATGACTTGGTCATATCATTTCTAAGACAGAAA